AGAGGTGGGGTTTGAACCATGGGTCTTACGTTTCTTAGGCAAGTGCGCTACCACTGCACCACAGCTGCTTACAATGCCAACACACTACGCTGATAACTGAATAATTTAACATTATATAAAGAATCATATTCATATTATTATATGATTATTGGTTTGCAAGCTATTAAAAACTACCTGTTTCCATGGATACTTAAGAATCAGAATATAAATCCCTACAACGCGGATATGAAACTTTATAAAGAATCATATTTATATTATTTATATGATTATTGATTGCAGATATGAAACTAAAATAATAGACTAGACTGCATGATAGACAGCCAATTTACCATAATTCTGAAAATTTATAATTTAAATTTAGAGCCCCTCTATTGACCGGCTCAGGTGGACTTCTCCGCCTTTCCGCCCTTGCTAGTATATGAAATAGTGGGGTTTTAACTTGTTTTTTTCATGCCAATAACTTTGTATATTCAATATTTTAATTTTTATTTGCATTTTTCTCTGTTTTATATTTTTAATTTTCGGGCAAAGATTGCAGGAGTTGTAATTGTCCAATTGACTTCAAATTTTGTACAGACATTCATTACAATAAGCTTTATGTCCTGAAACTAAGAATACAAATTAAAAAAACTTTGGGTTCATAATATCAGAAATTTGATTTTGAATTAGGCGCATTGAAAAATCTTACGATACTTTAAAATTTGTCGTGAGAAAAAATTTTCAACAAAAATTTTCATCTCAGGACATTTATCTACATGAAAAGAATAAAATGCAAAAAAATAGAACTTAATACATTTTACTTTTTGAAATATCTTTGCTAAGATTTTTGCATGTTTTCGGACTAAAACCACCTGTTTTGCCCAAAATTTACGAAAAAATAAATTAATTAAAGACAACTTTTTTTTCAATGTACCGTAAACCTTTTTAAGGGTTACTTTGAATAGCGGGGTAACTTTGAATGCAAATCTTTTTTTTTTCTTCAAGTTGTAATTATGGCAAAAACTTATACGAAACTGTTTAAAGCTTAAACATCAAAGTGTTAAAAATAGTTCATATTTTGATTATTTAAAGTTTTACTTTGTTTATTGGTTATTATTGTTCCTTAAAAAACGAATTAAATATTTCGAATATTTTTCTCAAAAAAATTATTCAGAATACTTTGTATACTGCCTGAGCTCTTGTAGCAGCTTGTTGTCTAAGTTGCATAATTTTTGTTTATAAATTTATCAAGCATGTAAAATATGAAAAAGTTTGTTAGCCTACTATAGTTATTTTCCATTGCTATAGCATAACATACTTTATTGTTTACATTTTTTCGCATACGGGTAACTTTGAATAAGGTCCAAACTAACCCCAATACATAAATAATCAAAAACACATGCACACACAAACGTGTGTGTGTGTGTGTGTGTGTTTATATATAATTATATATATATATATATATATATATATATATATATATATATATATATATATATATATATATATATATATATATATATATATATATATATATATATATATATATATATAGGGGAAGTGGGGGCATAACCGCATATGGAAGCACAACCGTTTTTTAACATTTCTTTTTGAAAAATGTTATCTAATATGACAAAAATCCTATCACGCGTTAGTAAAACAGCTTCATTCATTTCGCTTATGTCAAAAAGAATGCCTTTTACGTTTCTAAGAAGCTGTACATAATAATGTTTATTTTGATAAAAATATTATATTTAGATCATATTTTGCCAAACCTTTTCTTGGGGATTAAGCAGCATTTGACTTTAATGTTAAAGATATATGTTATCAGCATTATTTCATCAAGTTAAAACCATTTTTAATACCAGCATAATCTAATAAGCAAGTTATGAAACTGTATTCTTTCTGAAAACTGTTTCTGACAATTGTAAAAAAAAAATGTACCAAGAAAAGTGTACCCCCAACGATTTTTGTGAGGGTGCGGTTGTGCTTGTGATGGGGGAAAAACTGTTTTTTTTTGTAATTTTTAAAAGTGTAATTTTTGTTTAATAAAATTTTCAAAAACCGTTTAACTTTTTTCTTAATTGCATCAATTTAAAGCTTAATGATGTGATTATTGAAACAAACTGTTACATAACCCATTTCGTTTTTATTTTCATATAACATTAGTCCAAACGTTACCGGGGTGGTTATTATCCCCACTTCCCCGGTGTGTGTGCGTGTGTGTGTGTGTGTGTGTGTGTACGTTTTTTGCAGAACATTAATAAATTTTAAATCGTGTTAAATTAAATTTGTTGAAAGTACTGTTTTTCATCTTTAAATTTGTTTTTGTTTAGCATTTCAAAGCAGTACTATCCCACGTTTACACGAAAAAAAATTGATGCAAGGCAGTATATAAATTATACTGAGTGCCAGTTTTTAAATTTTATGGTTACAATAAATATTTCAAGATGAAAACATTATTAGATGTTCATTGGGTGCAAATTGCCACTTTGTATAAAAAAGTATAAAAACTTAATTA